CACTTGGGCAAACAAAACTGTGTGAAGTCCAGAGCTGCCAAACCAAGAGCTCTCAACAAGAGGCCCTGTACACATGTCTATGCTGCGTGCTTAACCTAATGCAGGCGAAAAGAAGAGATTTCTTTCCTTACCCCATTGCTAGGTTCATGGCTGAGGCCCCATTAACAAAAGACAGATGAACAAGAGAAAGCCATACAAATTTATTTAGTACAAGTTTTAGGTGACCCAGGAGCCTTCAGAAATGAAGACCAAAAGAAACAGGGAAATCTGTACTTTTATGCAAAGGTTTAATGAAGAGTGGACAGTTGTAGGAAGTATACTGAACAAAGGGGCGTGATCTGACAGTAATAATGTGGGGGCCACAGGAAGGCCTGTTTGCTCAGATTCTTCTCTGTGCCGCTGTGTCTTCAGAGATAAGAATGTTCCTTTCCTCCAGATCTATACCTGAGAGGAGCCGTCTCTCAAATGAGGGTCTTACGACCTGCTTCAGGGGAGAAGGAGGAGGGGCGGGTGGGAGTGGCTTCCTGCTTCTGCTGTTTCCCCAAATGCCAGTGTGCCATATTTTGGGGTGTCATATCTGAACCCCAATCACTAACTTGGAAGCCTAAGCCCAAACCAAATACTTTGTATTTAATTTTACACAGAGCAATAATATAAACTTGTGGAGTCTGCTGAGTTGCCGTTGTGATTTCGTGTTGGGCTCACGTCTTGTCTTTTAAAGCACAGGGTCCAGTCCTTGTGTGACTTCTAGAGCTACTAGGTGTGATGTGAAGGCCGAGTGTGTAAGAGGAAAGACGGCGCTGCCTGAGAGGGGAACCCCGGGGCCAACAGGGAGCCAGCTGTCCCCTCCTCTTCCCGGCCACCTCCTCAGCTCAACACCAGCCTACCTCCAATGTCCTGGCTCAAAGGAGATCAGCACAGAAGTATCATTTTGTAGGAAAAACAGAACCAATAAAGATAATCAAAATAAGAGATTGCATTGATGAAGGAAGCCAAGGAGAGTTCTCGTTTGCCCTTGCTGCGCTTACAAAATAAGAGATTGCATTGATGAAGGAAGCCAAGGAGAGTTCTCGTTTGCCCTTGCTGCGCAGGACGGTCGTGCAATGTCCTGGCTCAAAGGAGATCAGCACAGAAGTATCATTTTGTAGGAAAAACAGAACCAATAAAGATAATCAAAATAAGAGATTGCATTGATGAAGGAAGCCAAGGAGAGTTCTCGTTTGCCCTTGCTGCGCTTACAGTGGGCTTACAGAGGAGTTGTCACTTCTGCACTGAGCTCGCTGGCTGGTGTCAGCCCCCAGGCTTGCTTGCTGGCTCCACAGTGCACTGGGTGGACCCTCCAGAGTGGTGCCAGGGGCCCGGACTCCTCTCGATCAAGCAAGAGAGAAACCAGAGCGCAGTTCAGAGCTGTCACCGGTGGAGAGAAGAGAAAGCCTGGTGTGTACAGGAGTCAGGGATGTTTACTCTGGAAAAGACAAGAGTCTGGGGTAAGAGGAAGCTTTCTTCGAATATCTAATGCTCTGTGCAAGAAGGTTTTAACTTGATCTATCTAAGCTCAAAAAGAAGAATAATGTCCAAATGTGTGGAACGTTCTGGAAGATGAATCCTGATGCACTACAAGGAAGATTTTTCCAGCAATCGGTCATGTCCAACAATGGCGTGGGCTCACCCAGTACAGGAAGCACAGGTGGTGCTACTCTGATGTCCTCTGAGGTCCCCTCTGTCTGGGAGGTTCTACAAGCCCATGAGTGTGGGTCAAGGCAGATGGTCTGCTGCTGTCCCTGAGCGCTGAGCCTCCGCTCAGTCTTCCAGGCCCAGTGCACATGGGCAGCGGGAGCCGGAGGAGACGAAGGTGTGAGTAAGGTGGGGTTGGGGCAGGGAGAGAGAGCGGAGAGCCTCGCTGCATGGCTGCAACCTTCTGAAAGCCACACTGTGTCATCTCATCCATCTGTTCTCTGACTGAGGTGTCGTCGCCGTTTTACAAGAGAAGCTGTGAGCTTACCCAGGTGACACAGACAGCTTAGGGCCAGGCTGGACTCTGTTGTCCCTGCCCTCTTGGTCCAGTGTGGCCTGCTGCCGTTGTCCCACAACACCCATCACTGTGAGACAATCTGCCGCAGTCATTCTTGCCTCAGACAGACTTCGACCTAGCTACGACCTAATACATCGCACTCCCCCCTGTATATCAGGTATCGACTGCTAAACCACCCTGCCGATATCTGCCGCAGTCATTCTTGCCTCAGACAGACTTCGACCTAGCTACGACCTAATACATCGCAGTCCCCCCTGTATATCAGGTATCGACTGCTAAACCACCCTGCTGAACGAGTGCCTGTAAAACCTCCTCTCCATTGCTGATGGATCACCTGTGTGGCCCTGTCATCCTGTAAATACCCGGTGCCTGGCTTGCCCCTGGGTAGGATCCACCCATTCCACCTTCCCACCATAGCCACCCCTGTCCTCTGTGTGGGGACAGAGAAGGTTAGTCTAGCACAGCCGGCCTTACTCAGTGCTGCACAGAAGACTGCAACCTGGGAACACTATTTATTTGCATTGCAAAGAACCTCATAAAAGATTGAGAAATACTTCCAACATGAATTACAATAAATTATCTGATTATATGGATGAAATGGTCTTTTGGCATTGGATCAGATTGCCCTCCAGGCACGCTTGTGAATGTGTAAGCGCCCCCATAAATGAAGTGACAGCTACGCAAGAGACCCGGACTCACCGGGTCTAAGCACTGAGTTAGCTCCATCGCTGTGCTCCTGCCCCTCTGTGGCTCCTCCCCCTCTAGCTGCTCACTGTCTGGGTGGCTTCGCTGTAGAATCGAGTCTGTCACCTAACAGGGACCAATTTTACCGCAGCTCTGCTGTGGGCTTTTCTCCCGTGTTAATATATAGATGGAGAAGTGTTGAATGACTGTGTATACTAATTGCTGTAAGTGATCTGAGGTCTTTACTCTCCTTAGCTGATCGTTTACCATAAGTAATTTGTAATGATTTTCAACATCACTTCTTGGCAGACGACCCCCTTCTGGCCTCGGCGTGAAGATCTGGCATCTTACATGGACTGCATCAGTGAGTCTAATCCAGGTGGAAGTGTTTGTAAATTTCCAAAGAGGCCATCAGGACCACTCTGGGTCTCTGGGAGTGGGGTAAAGCTGGACAGCCTCAGTCACTTTATGCCTGGACACTCCCACAGCCTTCTGCTGAGTAACAGGCAGGGAAGTGCCTCGACCTGAAGGCAGACAGACCGGCCTCAGCTTCTGACTCATCCACCCACGACACTGGCTGCTGCTGCTGAGAAACCCCCCCATAGCTCTGGGCCCACTCCCTGGCTTAGGGCAGATGGGGCTGGCAGGGGCAGAGGGCACCTTGCAGCAGAGTGCCTCTGTGAGCCAGAACGATAGCAGACGTCCTTGCTGGCACCATGCATTTTGCTTCTGTGAGGAAACAAGCAGCAGCTCAGAGGGGAGGAAGACTGCCATGGGTCGCTGCTGTGACGATGCTGTCATGCACTGGCTACTCAACAGAAGGAGGAGCAGGAGGAGAGAGAACACTGGGTTAAATTCCTGGTAAGTTATTATGCAGATGTATCAGCAGGCACCCTCTCTACTTGGCAGTGTCACAATGCGTTGTGTCCTTTGTCCACCAGGAAAGGCAGAGTGCCTGTTTGTCTTGCATCCGGATACACTCAACACCAATCCTAAAGAGACACCCCTGATCTGTAGGGGAAGAAAGGTGTTGACCCCTTTCCTCCCCATCACAAGGATCATGGCCAACACCCCTATAGCAAATGACAGGTTAACAAGATTAACAAGAGAAAAGCAAACCACATTTGCTTACGGTTTTTTACATGACACGGCAGCCTTCACCCAAAGACACGGGAACTGACCCTGCACATGCTTGGGTCTGATGAAGCGTGGGCAGCCGTGCAGAGATCTGCTGGGGTGAAAGGTGTGACCCAACAGCAGCAGGCCGCGTGGGGAGCATGACAAGGACGGACTGCAGCCTCCTGTGCAGCGTCCCTTCCTCCCTGCAGAAGGACCACGCTGGAATAAAGGTCTTAATTTTTTACACAGAAAGTCAGGGGAAAGGTTAGAGTAATATTTTTAGGCTTTGTGGCTGGCTTTGGGGAAATGAGATTCTGCTATTTATGGCTTGCAGGAGAAGCTCAGAGAGAAACTGCTTCTGTGGATATTCCACAGACAGGAATACCCGGGACGGCAAGACAGTGGCATGAAAACACTCCTGCCCGCATTGACTCCTGATCCTATGGGAGGGGAACATTTTATCCTTTCCTCACAGAAGGGTCAAGGGGAAGGACACTTCAGGGTTGAAAGACAAGAATGACCAACTGGAGTCAACACGTTTAAAAAGCAGGATTATGAGATCTGGGAAAAATCAAAGCAAGCGGCCCCAGCATGTGTCCCGAGCTCACTTGTTCTTTGGAGGAGGAGCCCAGTGGTAGAATCTGCAAACCCCTTTGAATGCTGAGGAGAGCTCTGACCCCAGACCCCGATTCCCATGACACCGGGCAAGGGCAGCCAAAAACGCGGCCTTCTCTGTAGTAACGTGAATCAAAGGCCGGCTGCGTGGGTGACATGGGAATATATTAATTTCCTGGACGCTTAGTGTGCCAGAGAAAGATTAACAGGCTGTGATATGGGACAGCCCTCGGGTCCCTCCCCATGGGATGCAGAGAAAGGGCTGTTTGTGGTGCCTCTGTGGGGTGGCCACACTCGTGGAGAATGATGTCACAGTAATCACCTCATTGGCCCTGGAGCGTGCTCAGGGAATTTGGGGAGCATAGCGGGACAGCCCCTCGCTGGAGAGGCCCCACCAGGAAAGGTCTGTGCTGCGGGCTGGCCGCTTTCTAAAGTAAACTGTCACCTTTGACTTTTGGTCAGAGTCGTGCTGAGCCTGCCGCAGCTGCTCTCGGCCACACTTGGGGCAGCTCAGGGGAAAGCCTCAGGACTCTGCCCGCCTCCCGTAATCATGCCCACCGTGGATGACATTCTAGAGCAGATAGGGGACTTTCACTTTTTCCAGAAACAAACATTTCTCCTCTTAGCTCCGCTCTCTGCAGTCTTCACCCCCATCTATGTGGGCATCGTCTTCCTGGGCTTCACTCCCGACCACCGCTGCCTGAGCCCCGGGGTGGCTGAGCTGAGCCATCGCTGTGGCTGGAGCCTGGCCGAGGAGCTCAACTACACGGTGCCGGGCCTGGGGGCTGCAGATGAAGCCTTCCTCCGCCAGTGCCGGCGGTATGAGGTGGACTGGAACCAGAGCACCCTCGGCTGCCAGGACCCGCTGTCTGGTCTGGCCGCCAATAGGAGCCACCTGCCGCTGGGCCCCTGTCGTGACGGCTGGGTGTACGACACACCCGGCTCCTCGATCGTCACTGAGGTAAGTGAGCTCAGGACTCAGAATGGAAAAGCAAAAACTGGAGCTTCTTTTAAGGAGGCAACTAGGAAAGCACCAGTTCTTATAAGTGTGCCCAGACATGCTCTTTGGACTCAATGTATCTTATAAAATCCTGGCTTCCAAATGAAAACATGCAGCTTCCAATTACTCTGGAGTAGGAGTGGGTTCATTAAAACTTCCTCAAATACCGACAATAATTACTCTAGTGTATGCAAGTCGCAGCACAAAGAAACAAGCAAAAGCACATCAGAGCTCCTGGAAATGATGCCAGGGAAGGGAATATTTTTAAGTCTCCTCTTTTTCTGGAAGCCCTGCCTCGAGCTCTGTTCTTCCACCGTGCAGACATACACCTAAAAGGGTATGAAGCTCACCTGAACTGTGCCTTACTGTGTGATACTGTGTACTTTTCTGCTGGTGGCTTTTTTTTTCTTTTTTTTTTCTTCTACTTTTTAATTTGCTCAAAGTGTCCATATACCACCACTTGGGGCTGGAGAAGTTATGGTGTTATTATTTTATTAAAAAGATACAGTCACATTAAAATCTAATTGTGAAGCCTCGTTTCAATAAGTATAGAGAAAACAAAAAATAGAGATTTTATTGGAGGCAAAGCAAAATGGGGGAGAGAAATTATTCTGAAAATACAGAGAAAGCCAGTTTCCTGGCTTGATTTACAGGGACTGCTTGGATCATGTGAAGATATTGTGCATGAACAGACATTTAGAGAGAGCAGCCTATTTTGAAGGATCTAAAGTGATCAAACAATTAAATAAAATGCGGAATCTCAAGGACACCACCACCCAACTGCAAGAGGCTCTGCAGCATGGCAATTTCATCCCTTCAATCAGAGATGAGGAAACTGAGGCCCAAAGCACAGAAAAGTTTTGCTGTGGGCCACAGAGGGGGTGACTTGGCAGAGTTAGCAGTAGAAGCTGAATCTCCTGACTTCCAGGCCAGCACCTGTACCACGTGGCCACCTGCCTCTTATTGCAAATGAGAGCAAGGTGCCTTCAGCAGGACATTCCTCATCCCCTTCCTGTTAGAGACATCAAGGAGATGCCCAGCAGCCCAGATGCCTCGTGGTAGCACTGGCATCATGTTCATGAACCTACTGGCCTCTGTGTATTAAAAGTAGAAAGGAAAAAAATGGATGCCAGATGGAAGGCTAAATGGATTTTGGTGTGTAAAGAAAGTGAAGAAACAGTTGGTTTATTGCCTTTCAGCCATACCGGTTCAATGCAAGGAATATTTGAGTTCCCTGGGCTGAGTCATGTGTAACAGGATCCTAACAGGATTTTGTTTTCTTTCTATACTGGCTCGGAATACATCTCACATCTCGGCAGTTTAACCTAGTGTGTGCCAATTCCTGGATGCTGGACCTGTTTCAGTCGGCAGTGAACGTAGGATTTTTTATCGGTTCTGTGAGTATCGGCTACATAGCAGACAGGTAGGTGAAGCACCTGTGGTGGAATTTGAATAATCCTACAGGTTTGGAGAGGACTCGGATTCACCTGCCCCTGTTTGAATGCCATCCTTTCCCAAAACACACAGACCACGAGCTCCTGCCTTTTGATGTCAATTGTTTTCACAGCCTTAGATTTGTCTTGCTGCTTTAATAATAATGACCAAAGACTTTATTTTCAAATTCTCTGGTGACATAGAGGGCTGTTTCAACATTAGGCAGCAGTTTTTCCTTGTGGGCTATCCAGCGGCTTAGGGTTAGAAGGCAGGGTGACAGATGATTTAATCTCCTTGGTAATTCCTAATTCATTCTTGGGGCTCATTGCCACCCACCTGGTCATGAGCCTTCAGGGCCTCTGAGCTCTGTCCCATCCTCTGCTTGTCTCTAATACACTGGGAGCCACCAGCATCAGACCCAGTGTAGAATCTCCCCATTGCCCTTTGGATTGCAAGATTCCTGGACTGGGTCCCTGGGGCCAGATTTGACTATGTGCATGGAACCTCAGATGTAATCTAATGAAATGGGAACAGGATGTGTCTACACCAAAAGAGGCAAATATCCACTTCCACAGTGTTGGTGCCCCTGGAGAGAGATGAGGAAAGACCTCTTCACATGGCACACAGCAGATGGTCCCCTCAGATGAGTCCATGTCCTCAGCAGGCCAGTATTCAGCATTTGAACTAACCAAGCTAGCCTTGTATCGCTTATTTATCCATCAGTTTGCAATCCCATGATCACCATGCCAAAAGCTCCTCATAACACATAGCTTTGCTTGTGGATGACCCATTAGATATTTTTACTATCCTCAAAAGGGAAAAGAACAGAAAAATGTGCTTTATATGTGATATGCACTTTGAATAACCTGGCCATCAGGACTAATTATTTACTATTCATAGATTCAACTGTTTATTGAGTGTTTTTTCATGTGCCAGGCACTGTGCTCAACCTCTTGGAAAGTACAAGGGTACTTCAAAAATTTCATGGAAAAATAGAATTAACAGATAACATGAATCTTTCCATGAACTTTTTGGAGACCCCTCGTATTATTCTCTCTAATCATCAGTAACCTAGAGAGAAAGTGATATATAACTATATGTAATTGTGTATAATATATAAATGCACGACATAATTATATGTATGTATAAAATATAAATATCTATATTCTATTCTGAAGTAAATGGTAACGTAAATACACTTCAGGTTATGTTATACCCTCCCCAACCACATCTAGGGTATAAATCCAAAGCTGAGTATAATGTTGAATGTAAGTACAATGTTTTCTCTGGCTGTTATATTATCAGACCAGATGGAAACTTGCAGATGTGTTAAAGATTGATCACACCCTGCAGGGCGTCTGCATCTTACAGGGGCCTGGGCCACCGGGTGACAGCAGGGTGGGGGGACAGAGCTGAGGCGCTGGCCTGGGAGGACACCCTCTGCACCTGTCTGCTTGGCCTCCCGCCAGGGCTCTCCTGTGGGAGCCTTGGGAGGTGAGGAGGCAGGTAGCGTTTATATTTTTATTGCCACAGAAGTGAGAACGTTGTGCAGAGACGGCCCATTAGGTAGAGGGAGACACATTAACCAGGGCGGGTCCAGAGTCCGGCCTGCTGCTCACTCTCGCACCCACTGTGGGGGGACAGTGACTCTCGGCTCACTGGGCAGCCCGAGAGCACGCAGGTGACTGAGCTGTCCTTACACCGCAGGTCAAAGACATGAGCTAATTATTCTCATCCCGTTCAATGGGCAGGACACTGCTTCTGACGGCCCCTGACAGTGCATTCCCAAGCTCTAATTTCCAGTCAGTTTTGCACATTCTTAGACGACCTCATTATTTTGTTCCTGTTGTTAAAATCTCTGCCGACTACAGAAGGCTGGAGACACACCTCTATTGCTTTTCCTTAATCCTCCTGAAGTCTTCGTGGTGCTGCCGTTCTACCTGTGCATGCTCATGACAGTGTGACAGGCAGGCCACCGCCAGAAGTCAGCCGCCACAGGGTTCAAAGGAAACAAGCGATTTATCCTTTGCAAACTGAATGCCTGCAATTTTCAGATTTTATACAATGACACAAGAGTCCCATGGAAACCCATTTTATCCACAGATTGTATCAACATTAAATAAAACACACTGTCTTCCATGAAGAATTTTTAAGATATGCTGTAACAGCTGATTAGGGTGTCTTTTAGAAGAGAATCAGGAGGCATTATGAAAAGCTTGTAGATAAGAATACTGAGTCTTACACCATGTCAACTTTTCCAGGGTCAGCTTTGCAAATGGAAGAAAGAATAAAGGGAGGGAGAGAGCAAAGAAGGAAGGGCATGTGTTAGAGAACTTGAAAATGAACCTTTTATAAGATGTCTAATTTATTTCATCATTCATAATCTCCTAAAGAATGATTTTGAGTATCACGTGACACAAAAAAATAATCCCTCACCAATTTCAGGTTTTTTACCCTAAATGATCAGTAATTATAAGGGCTAGATTTAGTGGCATGCTTGAAAATGTTTAGTAACTGGCTCTCTGCAGGGAAAAGTGTTGGTTTGTATCATTTACTGATTTCCGTGGTGTAAACACTCCCACCATGGTCCATTTCAAGCTACCACAGTGTGGTCACTGGACACAGAGTTGGCTAGACATGTGCACCGTTACACACATTTCCACCATACAGACACGATAGATGTAAACAAACTTGTGTGCATAGATGGTCGATATTTTGCATATTTAATATAAAATATATTTTAATATTTAATATAAAAATGTTTTGCATATTTAATTGTAAGTATATATAATTTAATAATGGCTGTTTTTACAACTAGCTTGCAAATAGTCCGAAAGTCTAATCGGCTGTCAAGAGCTAGTAGCCCACTGTCTACATGTCATGATGGAACTAGATCAAAGCAGAATCCAGGTCCCATGGGTTGCAATTGACCTTATCTATCTACATGGGACCTTCCAAAACAAGTCCCCCACTGACTCCTGTGTGCCAGTGCCTTATCCGGCATCCTCATGTGTTTCTTTCATTTAGGATCACAATGGCCTGTACAGTAGATTTTATTATCTGGAATTCATGGGTGAGGAAACTGAGGCTCAGTGAAATTAAAGCATGCTGACAGGCCTAGGCCACAGGCTGAGGAGCAAGAAGCTAATGGACTTACAGAGCTGGCAGTACCGGGAGCCCACCCTCCTCTCCTGTTTTCTCTGTTTGTTTTTTATTTGACCTCTTGAGTGGCTCTGTTGGGGAGAAAAGTCTAAAACCTCTATCCCAGATCTCTAAGGTTTCTTCTAGCTGTGACTTTAAAAAAAAAAAAATAGCATTGTACCTTATTTGGAACCTGTCTTCAATGAAGTTTTTCTGCCACATGAATTTGGTTTTCTTGTTCTGTGTTTCAAATGATGAATTTTCCCTTTCTTCGTCCAGAGGATTGTGTCCATCTACGGGGGCATTACCGTGGTTTTTATTGTGTGCCTGAGTCAGCTTTGGAAGTTAAAGAATTATTACCACTTGAGCAAATGTTCATAGATTATGAAATTTCTGAGGGTAAAGGAGGGGAGTTTGGGTAGGAGAATGTGGGAAGAAAGGCTAAAAAATTACGTTGAGATGTGACGTTGGATGGCTTTGAATTAAAGGCCAAGAGATATTTTTACAATGGGGAGCCATTGACTGAGAATTAAGAAATAACATGGTCAAAATGGAATTTTAAGACTCTTAAGTAGCTTAGCAGTTTAAATTAATTACTAATGAGACTGCTTGATCTTTAATTTCAGATTTATGACATTAAATTTCAAAGTAATTATTAATGATGTAGATTATTTTGAAGTGGTTAGCATTTGAAATGCTCACTAGAATATAGTTGCCTAATAATAAGAACGTAAATTTTTAAATGTTCAGCCATGACTGGAATGTGCAATCCTAATGATAAAAAGCGCTGATTGAGTTTGAAGGGTATAAACAAAGATGCAATAAAACATTGTTTTCCATGAAGAATTTAAAAAATATCCACTGACAGTGGATTAGGGAGTCTTTTAGAACAAAAACCAGGAGGACACAATAAAAATATGCAGATAAGAGGATCGAGCCCCACTGCACTCTCTGACAGCCAGTTTCACAAGCAGAAGGAAGAAAGGAGAAAGGGCGAAAAAATACATGCCCAGCTCTGTGAGTGAGATACTAATTTAAATGTGGGGTCAGATAGTCTTTTCCAGATGGAGAAACTGAGTAAGGCTGAATATAATACCACAGTAAGTGGTAAGGCCATGATTAAACCCAGGTTGCTGGTGTTTTCCTCTATTCTGCGCACTGGAACAAGCCTCCAAGCCCCTACACTGATGACACCTACGTCCCTCAAATAAAATGTGCGGAAGCCATCCCTCCAGGGTGCTTCATAGCGAAGGTACTGTGGAATGGCCACGTGGGTAACATGAGTTCCCATGGAGATGTGCAACGACCACAAATCCAAAAGCAGGGTTTAAAAGGGATAGGGGTGTGCATCAAGTGTTGAATTCTGTTTATTCCAAAGCCCAACTGTCTTGGGTGGGCAGCTGGTTGAGTGTGAAGACCCCAGCTCATCCCATCATGTAAGACTAGGTAGTGGGCCAGCCCGGTGGCGCACTGCTACAGTGCGCCGCTTGGGAAGCGCGGTGGCGCTCCCG